AGCTCCGAGTATGAACATCTTCAAAAACAGACTAGACGAAGCTATGCAGGAGCATATGTTCAGTCTTAAAATGCCTAGCAAATTACGGACCAGGCAATAAGTCCAGCAGCTATCTCAATCAATCGTCAGTTATGGAAAGATCGAGTTCCAAAGGCCGGATCCCTTGTGAATCAAGTCACGAAAAGTTCAAGAATAGGCAACAGGCCATGGGCCTATTTCTTCAATGCCGACACTTCTATTCTATTCTATTCTATTTTATTCTATTCTATTCTATTCTATTCTATTCTATTCTATTCTATTCTATTCTATTCTATCATTAATATCTGACATCCTAGTAGGACCAAAAAACACTTCAAATGCAACAGCAAATCATACAGCTCAATATCTCCACGACTTTCTGAATCTATAGACAACGGAGACGATAAGACCCGTTTTTAATATAATATATGAAATATGTTGTACGTATAAAATATGTAGAATAAAATATAGAATATGTATAATAATATTATGATATATAAAAGTGCTTTTTAAATTATAACATACTATTACTGACCAACAACCGTGCGTGTCTGATCACTGGAGCCTGACGCGATGTTCGTGAGCGCCCACAGCGCCTCAAACTGAAGCTGCGGGCTGCCAGGGAATTTTACAAGCATTTATCCTATCTACAGAATTTGTTATGGTGAAGGGTTGTAAAATTTAACAGGGAAGACAATTGCAGAATAAATAGAATGTAATCGATTTGATTTTCAAGTGACAAAGTTTTACGATGTGCAATGGCAATATGTTTTGTTCTTATGTCAAGTTCGCCATCCGATTATTAATAATTAAAAAAAATTTATTGGATTTAAATAGATCAATGGCATGATTACTTATGATGTTTATTGAGCAGCGATATGAGGAGAGGGACGGCGTTGGCGTTGATGTACTCAGCGATGGGCGGGTCCACGCTCACTGAGAGATGACGCCGCGCTGTCGTGGCGCCTTCAAGTTGGTCCTTCTCCTCCAGGCTGTTCAGCAAACGCATGGCTGTTCTCCGCTCAAGTTTCTGATGGGTCGAAATGAACGAACAATGAGTTATTGTGAGTGAACAATAAGTAGTTATTGTTCGCGTTCAAAATTGTTAGCAAAACCAAATGTAAGATCTGAAAAAATATAACTCAGTACTCACTGCAGTGACAGAGAGCGCATTTTCTCGTCGACGAAAACGTGAATATCAATAGGGCATTTTTTCCATGAATGAGAAAATGCGCTAAAAATGCGTCATAAAAGGTTCATTTTTTATTTGTAACTCTCGCTTTGTAACTCTCGCGCACACGCACTGTATTTTATAGTAAATAAATTAATACCACTATTGATTTGAACAATTCCTATTTAACTTCCAAAAAAAATTTTTATAACCTTACAGCCCCTGAAGTAAGTTTGCGAGCGATAGTATTTCACGGTTTCAAGCTGCAGGAATCTTGAAATTTTTTATGATAAGGTAGATCTAAAATATTAACGTTATTTTCGCCACATTTGCACAAAAGCAAATAATGTTTCGCATCTTTATTTTTTTTTATTTAACGTTTATGAATGCTCGCTTTGGCATTCGACTAACGCTATTACCTGTCATTTTTGCCTCAAACTTACCATTTTCAATTCAGGATCGTCATCTTCTTCTTCTACGTTGGGAGGCTCAACTTTCGCTTGCTCCTCCTGTTCTTTTAGAGGTTCTTCTTCAGGCTCGGGCTCCTCGCCTGGAACTTCAACTTCTTCGGCTGGTTCTTCAAGAGGATAGGACGGCAACACTAGCTCCTCTTCGGGCAGATCTGAAAACAATTAGTTGTAAAATTTACAAAAAAAGAGTAACCGAACGTTATTAAATTTTATATACACCTTAATTAACTTAATGAGGTTATATTATGTGGTACAAGTATCTGCACCAGAGTTGTGGTAAAAGATTTAATTGAACTGATTATCAAATATTTCAGTGAAATGATTATCAAATATCCAAAGGGTTGCCGTGTAGGATTTAAAGACGTTATGTCGCAATATGTGCGATGAATTACTTCCTTAATGTTTGGGGATGTATTTTTGTTAGGATTTTAATAAGAGATATTTTTTTCGAATTTTTAGGTTTAGTGACAACCTCACGGTTCACGTCCGCACTCTAGGAATGCTACGTGGTGGTGCTAGTGGATTTTACGTGTCGTATAATAGTGAAGGATTTAAGTGCGAATATCATGTGTAAATATTATTGTGGATAGATATAATGTGTACATTGTTCTAATGTGGATTCGTTGTATATATTTTTTCATTGTAAGTGATCCGTAAGCCATATATAACTTTTTATTGATTAATTTATAGTTTATATTTGCAGGAAAGTATAGAACTTGAAACATTGGTACTTTAACTTCCTCTTAAAACATCGTTAATGGTTGGGTTTAAAGAACGATCACGAGCCATGTGATCACGTTGATGCTTGCATGGGCTTAGTAGGGCCCACAGCAATATAAATTACCATTGTGGGGTCGACGTCGTATTGTTTGGGGATGTACTATAAATTACCATCGTAGGGTTTGGGGTCGTAATATTCTGCTGGCTCCCTGTAGTCGAAACGACGGTCGTCAGAAAACGCCCTCATGTCGTGAATCGCTGGAGTTATAAACTGACAAATCAAAAAATAAGAATTATCAAGTGAAGGAAACCGGATGAACATGCCTATAATATTAAAATCTATATCATCAAACGCCTTGCGTGAACCGGACATACTATTCAAATTTACACGTATTTAGCGATTAATCGTAGCCACGATAATATATTTCTCATCTTACTCTCGAATAAAATGCGATTATTCGTTAACAATGCGTTTCCTTCTTACCTCTTTTCTATCAATTACTGCTTTTGGTGGCTTCTTTTTAGCTTGTATGCTAACTTTCTTGACTGGCTTATTTTCTTTGCTGTTCGTCTTCGGAGACGCTTTTTTACTCTCGGGTTTCTTGAGGCTTGGCTTCTTGAGCAGAGGATCGGCGGCTCTTTGACGGTCGAGTTCGTTTCCCTGAGGATCGCTTCGCCGGTTACTGTAAATTAAAACTTGGGTCATAAATTTTCAAATTACACATTATTATTTACCTTGAAAATACTGTTGCCGTTTATATTGAATGGCGCTTATCGCACTGCGATCGAGAATCAATTTTGTTTTCTTCCCTATCAAAGTACATTAAAATATAATACTCCAATTGTGGTTAAGTAGTTTCATTTCATAACAAAGTATACCAATTGCATTGAGATTGAACTTTAATAGCTTTATTTGCCATAAAGGAACAATAATGGTAATCCGATTGTCGATAAATCGGATTTTTAGTTTTTAATAAAATATTCTAATTGTTTAAGATAGAGGTTAAATTTTTTTTCTATCGATGCACGACGCTCGTGCTCCGATTGAGGTTTTCCCGTTGAAATAAAGCACCTGCTCGTGCTTCAAGAGTTTCGAGATCGAACAAATATAAATACGGATTTACAGTAGATGTGCTCGTCTCAAGAGACCGTTTGAAAAAATTCAAAGTTGTATTTCAAGAAAAAGTATGTAAACTAAATTCTTGTGAAATTCATGCTCGAATTAAAAAAAAATTTTTTTATCACGAAAATACAAGCAAGGGCCCAGAAACTGCAGACTTGCGAGAATTTGGCATTTTATACATGTAAGAACTGAAGAAAAATTAGATACAAACATTAGAATGTGATCCGTTCTACCTCCATCGTTTGAAAGTGCAAGTTAATTTTGTATTTTTTCATTGTATCCTAAATTCAGTCATACAAATTTGAAAATCGGGTATAGCTTGATGTATTCTGCATGTAAAATAAATGAGAAAAAATATTCTTCTCAAAATACTGCGCAATGAGTTTACTATATTATTAATAGGCACAAATACGCAAAATTTTACACGCAAACATGAATAAATAATTTTGATGATAACTATTCTAGTTTCCGTTCCAACAGTGGTTGTTATCGCAACACCTTGACATTGATCCTGTAAACATAGTTGCCTATGATTAACCACTTCCAGAAAATTCCCGTAAATGTCCATTGTTGACACTAATGCTATGTTAATAGTTAAATAACTATATGAATCAAAGGTTATATAATGTTACCCAATAGGCATGAGTCTGACTGTCTTCTTGGATTTGCCGGAGTCAGGCTGCGGGTCGCCATGATGTTTCTTGCGTATTTTGCTCGCACTCGAAGGCGCCGCCGGGGGCCGCGTTCTCGCCGCGCTCAGGTCGGCCGCACCTCCGGTGCGCTTAGCGGTCGTCAGAGCAGCCAGGCGCTCCCTACGCAATCTGATGGCCTCGAGCTGACAAAGATTTTGAAGCATAATTTTCGAATTTATTATCAAGAATAATAGTAATAAAAAATTTAATATAAGATAATAGATTATTAATCGGCAACAGGCCAAGCTTGGCCTATTCTTCAGCTCGCACACTAATACGAGTATACTATATAGTTGTTATGGTGAGACTAAAATGGCAGGCGTAGTATTACGTGCTTTGTATTGTTCGAATAATAGATGATATGAAGTAAGAATAATGATGTAATTAAAGTAGTGTTGCAATATTCCACATTAATATTTTAGACGCAGTTAAAATATTTCTTGATTTTTCTTGAACAAACATGTCAGCCCAGGAGAACATGTATACATAAAAAAATCAGTGATAGAGGAACAGGCGAAGTTGAAAGAAGCGTCATCCCATGCGAACAAATCAAATCCTAAAAATTGTTTTGGTAAATAAAAATGTATATAAGAAAACGTGTTGTTAAAAATACAAATTATAATAAATTGTTGTATTATCGACACAAGAAAGAAGAACACTGGTCGGAAAATCATCAGAGGACATGGTATGGTTAGCAGCCGATTTCATTCATAAGCATTATTATGAATGAAATAATCCTAAACATGATTGTTCAAGTGCGTAGAAAACCATTTCAACTTTTAAAAAAGAAAGAATCAAACGCTAGCGGTCGTTCAAGTAGGAGTGTATTGTAGCAACGAAACACATTATTATAAGTTTTAAGTTATATAGAAATGACTTAAAATTATAAAAGTGTGATAAAAAATAATATAAAATGTTCAGAGTTGATAATCTCATGAACGAAGTCAGTGGATCAAAATATAAGATCGGGAAAATGTTTGCCACGAGTCGCAGAGAGCTCCCATAAGTCATCGAAAAGATCGATGCCAGAATGATTATTTAGAAACAATTGTTATGAAAGTTACTACCCACGACCGTTCATTTGATCGACGTTGCTCTGTTGTCACTGGCGACACTCGATATCAAGAGTAAACTTAATTTGGACCAAGAGTATCAAAATTTGGACCTATAAAAACGCACAGATTATATTTAAAAAAAAATAAATAAACGTGTTTGAATAAAAAGTAATATGTTATTAAAGGCTTCTTATAAGTTGTTTCATTTTTGATAGCTGCAAAGAAAATAATCAGATGAGTCGTATTTCTGTAATATTTCCAGTTCACACCGATGACATGAGACTTATTTCTCTCAAATTTACATTTTAATCTGATGAAATGAGTTCTATTTAAGTAGAATTTTCAGTATAATAGAGAGAAATTATTTCTATTTCATTAAAATTATTCAAATGAAGTCTAATCTGACAACTCACATCCATGGCGACAGGCTCTTTCTTGACGGGCGCTTTCTTCTCGCGGTGCCGGATCGCCGGCAACGTTATAGGCCCGCTGGTCATCCCTCAAGTTGCCGCATGTCAATGATGATCTCAGTATTTTCCTTACTTTAATGAAAAGTTATCAGTTCAAAGTTTACTTGTAGTCATTTTAATGAAAAGTTTTCAGTTCAAAGTTTACTTGTGGTCATTTTAATGAAAAGTTGTCAGATCAAAGTTTACTTCTAACAATTTACCAGTTACCCGCGTTTCAGTGAATTAATAAAGCAATTCGTCTGTCATATGTTTGTTGTATACAGATGAAAATTTACATTGCCAGATTGATTTGATTAATCCATAAAATTTCCTTTTTACTAAGTTTTTTGGATTTTTCGAGCAATTAAAAGTCGATGAGATACGACCGAGTTTACTCACTATACCATGCCATATTCACTCTGTTCATATTGTCACACAAAGAAACTCGACTAATTCGATGAATTAACCATTCTTCATTTGTTCCTATGAAAATAGATCAGTTATAATTTGAAAAATAGCTCATGAGTTACTGTCCAGTCCGAATATTTTTTTCATAAGCAATATACATACAATGATTAAAAATTGTATACAAATTGTAGCATCAGTATAGCAATTTCAATACTTGCTCTATACCTAAGAAGGTATAAAGCAAGGGAAGGTATTCTCTATACCTTGCTATACCTAGCAAGGTATAGAGAATATTCACAACAGCTTCCACTGAAACACATTGACATTAAATGTGTTTTAGTGGAAGCTATTGTGAATATTAATTTCCATTTATATTCTAATTTATGCTTTTTCATTGGGAGGTGCTTGACGAAAATTATCATGTCGTTTAGTTAAAACTCACACAAATGTTCGAATTTTAGTTTACCACAAATAAATTTAGATTTCAATTTTTTCTATTTGCGCCCGAGTTGAAATTTAACTGAATTTTTGGATAAAATTTCCAATAATAATGGGATATTACGAAAGCGAACTTCGGAATTGTTTCGTTCAACAGAAAAAAGCTGTTCCATTATAAGTCAGAAATTCAATAAAAATCGAGAGCATTGAGAATATAAACCAATTTAATCATGTTCGTGAGCCTGACAAGCGTTAGTAGAGTTCGTGACACGAAGGCATGGACGTTGCGACCATGAGACGTCATATAACACGCAGCGTCCAGGTTTCGTTGCCAGGCGAAGCGGTGAAGTTTAGGTTCAAACTTGCACACAAAGCTGAGGTCACTTCAACGATGACATTCATTGACGGCTTATCGGAGGCCACCGCACAAAATGTAAGATTAAGTACGTATTTCGATTTATATATTATGAAATTCCATTTAAAAATAGGGAAAATGTGTGGCAAACCCTGCATTCTCTTCTTCGATCGTACGTGTGGCATTTGCGCTAGTGAACATAACAAAAAATGTGTTTGGATAAAGGCTAGTAATAAAAATTAGTTTTCAACTAATGTTCACATTAAAACACAACCACAAAATGCTGAGTGCACAGCCTTGTTCTATTATATAATTGAAGAAATTTTCCGTTGCAATCTCATTTGGACACATGCATGCCGACAAGGGTATGGTCCAATAAAAATATATTTAGAGAGAAGGTCTTATTTGCACTCGAACAATAACAAAGAAGCAAAGACTCATTCGGACGAACGAATTAGTTCATCATTACATTTTTCTTATTGGACAAGAAGTTATTATTCAAGTATTTTGTTACGCATTTGCCATGTTGGTATATTTTACTCGCCGCGCTCCATTTTACGAGTTTGATGTAAAAGAAATTGCGCATGCAAAGCAGCAATCTGTTTAAAATACCCTAAAATACCATTATGCCTATAGGTGCAGGGGTATAGGTAAACCCCTATACCCCTGCAAAAGTTTAAAAGATTCTTCTGTTACCTGGATGTGTTGACGGCCTCGACAAAATTTTAATCTCTTGTTTAAAAAGATTATTTTGAAAACAATTCAACACGAACAACATGATTTGAGGACATAAGCTAGACTCAAGCTCGTCGATTTATTAGTTTCATCATTCAACATGATGATCACAATGAGCCTCAATCAATAGTATTTGACAGTGAAAAATGATTATATGGGTCGTCATGATGAAATTGAACCTGTTTTCTGCCGTAAATCATTATAGATTGCCTCCTTGGTCATGTACGTATATGCTTGTCTTACTCTCATGTATTCATCAGTCACAGCCCTTTAAGAGGCCTGTTCACGGACGCTCCAACTCCAAGCTCGGCACACTGGGCGAACTGAGGGTAAATTTTGGCAGCAGCGTCTTGCAGGGTAGTGACGTGGCCGAGGGTGCGCGAGAATAGTGAGGTATGAACTGCACTAATAATTGTGCAGGGATTTTTTAGTTACGTCGAGACATACATTTGTTAACTAATGTGAAGTAATTTATAATTTGGCATAATAATTATATTATATTATATTATATTATATAAATAATATATTATAATATAT